GGCCTAAATTGAATTAAGACCATATATTTATTAGATATATTTTCAATAAGAACTTATATTAATTTATAGTAATTTATTGACAATTAAAAAATAATTATGAAAATTGATTTGATTAAATATATTATCAATGGTTGTAGGTATTAATTTAATTAATTATATTCAAAGTTTTAATAAAATAATAAAGATAACTATGTTTAAATCATAATAATTTAAAATATTAATAAAAGTTTCTAAAATGTAGTTAATTTGATTATAAAAAGGTACATCCCCATTGAATATATCATATGTAGTGATAATACTAATAGAAATTTAAATATGATACTAACAAAAATAAAATTTGATGGCCGAGTGCAATTCAGAATTATAAATTTCACCTTAGAAGTATATGTGTACAATAAAAAACTATTCAAAATTTAAAAACATTTATTTTTCTTATACTATTTTATAAATGAAAAATAAGTTAATAAAATAGCAATGTGTAATAATATAAATTATAGCACTTGGTAATTATGAAAATATATAATATATCTAAATATTCGAATAGACACTATGTAACTCATTATATAGGTTGAAAAAATGAATTAAAAAAATAAATATAGATAAAAAATTAAAACATAAAAATAAAATATTTAACCAGTAAAAAAATGTGTGTTGCATAAGGATTAAAGTTACGAAAAATTAAGATTTATCTATCAAATTTTTTAATATTTAATGCACTTAATAATTGTAGCTGGAGATAACTATTACGGGTTAAACGTTAGTCAATTATCAAACAATGTGTAAATTATGAATTGTTTATAAAATTATAAGACTATGATAAACGGAAATTTTATAAGTACATACAAATAATTTATATGCAAATATCATATAATCTTATACATTTTAAATATTTTATAAATTTATAAATAATAGAATTTATATATTAAATAGTAAATACACAACACACACACACACACACACACACATATATATATATATATATATATAAAGTAACAATAATAGTAAATAAATAAATGTCATATTATTACTGAATAATATATTGTGAAGAACATAATTTCATATTATCTTAAATAATTTTTTAATATTTAAAATTTAATGTATCTCGTGCATCGCACGGGTATCAACACTAGTTCTATGGAATCATCAGATGATTTTTTGTGGAGTTATCCATAATTTTATATACACGTGTGTAATGTATATTATTGCAGGATCGTGTCAATACACCAGTTGTGAATAAATATAGACGGCTCCATAAAACTGTGAATAAATATAGACGGCTCCATAAAACTGAGTGGTCTATAGCAAAACCGATAATTATAAATTGAAATTTGACCATTTATAATTTATTGTTTATCTGAAGACCCTTTGCACATTGTACTGTTGTACACCTGGTTTGTCGTTCACAGAATCACATTCTCCAGCTTTACACTCCATTCTATCTATCCACAAGCTTGCAACCCTCCATAGCTACTGCCATCTTCTGTTTGCGGTAAATCTCTCTATCTTTGTGCAAAATTTGCAGTACTCAGCTACCATTTGGTTTACAGTTTACACATCCTAAGTTTATTTGTGGCAACCCATTTTAATTCATCCAATATAATGCAAGCTCATCTGGGCTTCACTCGTTCCATGTTCTCCTATTTGCACTTCTTCTTGTTTTTTCTTCCTTTTTTTAGCTCAATCTGTTTGCTTAGTACTTCAATTCGATTTCGGAATATGTTGAATTGGGGCTATTTATGTACAAGCTCGTGTGCTGCTTGGCGATGGCTTAATTATCAATGTTTGTTGTTTGTTTTGAATAGGTTTACTTCTAATTCTACTTGGATTAGTGAATTTTCAATTGGGATTTGATTAGGTGTTTGATTATTCCTCCTATAGTTAGTTGTAGCAAATTGGTTACAGCATAGGGAGGACGAAGAAGTAGAAGAAGAAAGTTCTCAATGGACCTTCAAACCCCATGTAATGCCTGCATCGGGATTGACCGAAAACTAGCCGTGCCCGGCCAGTCATTTCCCAGAAGAAGCATCAAAATTCGTCGTAAAACGATTTCAGAGCTCCAAATGCCTGTTGCGGCAAGCCGGGCCCCACTGCTGGCCGCAATCCCGACCCACAAGGTCACTGTGCACGATCGTCAGCGAGGTGTTGTCCATGAATTTCTCGTGCCCGAGGTAGTATACTCACATTTCATTTCATTTTTATTTTTTTATTTTTATGCATTCGTTGTTTGTATGAAGCTTTTTTCTTGTTAGCTAATCAACTTACGAGAAGTTGTAGGATCAATATATATTGCACACGGCGGAGGATCAAGATATAACTCTGCCCTTTGCTTGCAGGCACGGTACTGATCTATTCTTCAACTGTTTTTTTATGTCTTTCAAGTTGTTTAGATGGGGAAAAGCTAGGAATATCTTGAATTCTGTTTTAGATATCTGGAATGGCAGTTCACTTCTCAGATTCTTAAATCACTACAATTATTTTAATCATGTGACCGTACTGTCGAAGCAGGCTGTTGTTCTTCAATTTGCATACGCTTAACTAAACTATTTGGTTTCACAGTGAGAGCATGTTGAGACTGCTGTAATATATAATTGTCTTATCTGTGTATGTTACTAAATAGTTGAAGTTTCTTGTTTAATTGGTGATTGCCAGTTTTAAACATCAGCTTTTCCTATACCAAACTGTTCGACAAATGTTGAGAAATTCCACGATTCAGAACAGTCATGTTCCGAACCTGGCTGTGAATTTGAAGTAGCCACAAGTTTATATGTTAAACATAATTTCTTCTCATACTACGTGATTACTTATTAAAAAAGATTTTTTCATGGTTTTAGCAAGTAATGCACCAGTGGGATTTTATTTATATCATGTTATGTGCCTGCTCAAGATTTTTGAGAGCTTTATGTTATCTAAAGTTGAATCTGTCAGGCTGCTGTACTAGCTGTGCTGTTCGTGTAAAGTCTGGAGAACTCAGACAGCCAGAAGCACTAGGAATATCTGCTGAATTGAAATCCCAGGTATACTTCAGAATTCTGAACACAGTAATTCCACAACTTTTTAATACAACATTAACTTGAAAGGGCCATGCTATGTTGCCCGAATGGTTTAGAGAATGGGTTATTGAAAGTGATAATATACATGGAAAGCATTCACTACTTTACTATTCACATTATCATTAAAATCAACAATCAAGATCTTGCCAGCACATAAATTTAGTAAAACATTCTGGCGAATTAGATTAATTCAAGTTTTTTTGATATTGTAGCCATGGAATCAGGTATTAACTATTATCTACTTTGTATGTCAAACTGAAATCATAGTGCACAAAATTTCGACATCAATCACGCGGCCTCCACAATAGCGATTTTTTAATTTTGGAGAAGAATATTAATAGGAGTAATGAGTCAAAGGAATGAAATATAAAATTTTATTTAATAATAAATAGTAACCCGAAGATTTAAGCTTCCCATCAGAATGGTTCTTCCAACAAGAACTAATCTTGGCCAATAGCTAAAACTAATACAATCTGATTGATTGATTGATTGTTGCTGCCTACTCTGTCAATACTAGGGATCCTACATTTATATTAAACTGATTGTTGTAAAAGGTAATGATAAAAGAAGCAAGAAAACAAATATCTACCGACCTTCTTTTCTGAAATGATAGTTGATATACATCCAAAAAAAAAA